ACACCACTCAAACTGCATTATAGGCGTTTGTGGGGCGTTATTAACGTTCGGCAAACGCCTAGCAACCGCCGCTAAACCGCGCATGCGGTGTTTGCCGAGCGTTAAACGCTCCGCAAACGCCGGACCAACGCTTGCCAAACGCTATAGGGGCGTTTGGCAAGCGTTGGTAAAACAGCCAAGTGTGAACGAGCCCTAATGGTGAAACTGGCTAACAAGTGATTTCCTCATACTTGCTGTTGAGCTTTCAGGACAGGACGTGAAGGGAAATATCCCAAGTGAGAGGTGTTTTGTTTTTTTTTTTTTTTTTTTCCCTCTCCAAAGTTTGACTTTATACATTTATGCTTTGACTAAATAATCTAGATTCTTGCTTAAGCCCAATTGTGATGGCTCCATTTTAAAAAAGCTAAGTGAATGTAATCTTTGAATTTGGAAGTCTAAATATAGAAACCTGTTGTTTCCTGTATTCCAGATTTATTCTAGATATTTTTTAGATTCCTAAACTGGAAACACACAGATGTTTATATCCTACAGAGTATGCTCACTAAAATAATACATACAGGAGACTAAATCAAATCAATGCACATATGTGGATTTATTTGAACTAATGAACTCATTTTTACTGTCAAACATTAAGTCCCCGAAACCTCCCCTTTCATGAGCAGTTTTTCATATTTCCATGTCTCATTCCAGTACATACCACAAAAAAAAAATAAGGTGATTCTTCATTTCAGGGTAATGGACAAAGAAAGGTAAATAATTTCTTTCAAAGGCTAACTGCACTGTATAGTTTTCTATGATGTAGAACTTGAAAGACCAACCAGAAAGAATTTTTGACTGATAGCATGTGTGTGTGTAAATACACGGCTCAAAAAAAATTAAAGGAACAATTTGAAAGCACATCAGATCTCAGTGGGGAAAAATATGCTGGATATCTATACTGATCTGGAATGGGTAATGTGTTAGGAAGATAAGGATGCCCCATTGCTTGATGGAAATAAAAATTACCAACCTACAGAAGACTGAATTCAAAGACACCCCCGAAAATCAAAGTGAAAAAATGATGCAGCAGGATAGTCCATTTTTGCTGAAATTCATTGCAGCAACTCAAAAAAGTACTCAGTAGTTTGTATGGCCCCCACGTGCTTGTATGCATGCCTGACAATGTCGGGGCATGCTCCTAATGGTGTCCTGGGGTATTTCCTCTCAGATCTGGACCAGGGCATCACTAAGCTCCTGGGCAGTCTGCTGTGCAACCTGGTGGAGTTGGACCGAAACATGAGGTCCCAGAGGTGTTCTATTGGATTTAGCTCAGGGGGCCATTCAATGGTGTCAATTCCTTCATCCTCCAGGAACTGCCTGCATACTCTCTCCATATAAGGCCGGACATTGTCATGCACCAGGAGGAACCCAGGACCCACTGCATCAGCGTAGGGTCTGATGATGGGTCCAAGGAATGCATCCCAATACCTAATGGCAGTCAGGGTGCCATTGTCTAGCCTGTAGAGGTCTGTATGTCCCTCCATGGATATGCCTCCCCAGACCATCACTGACCCACCACCAAAACGGTGGTCATGCTGAACGATGCTGCAGTCAGCATAACATTCTCCACGGCTTCTCCAGACCCTTTCACGTCTGTCAGTTGTGCTCAGGGTGAACCTGCTCTCATCTGTGAAAAGCACAGGGTGCCAGTGGTGGACCCGCCAATTCTGATGTTCAATGGAAAATTCCAATCAAGCTCTACGGTGGCGGGCAGTGAGCACAGGACCCACTAGAGGATGTTGGGCCCTCAGGCCACCCCCATGAAGTCTGTTTCTGATTGTTTGGTCAGAGACATTTACACCAGTCAGTGGCCTGCTGGAGGTCATTTTGTAGGGCTCTGGCAGTGCTCATCCTGTTCCTCCTTGCACAAAGGAGCAGATACCGGTCCTGGTGATGGGTTAATGACCTTCTACGGCCCTGTCCAGATCTCCTAGAGTAACTGCCTGTCTCCAGGAATCTCCTCCATGCTCTTGAGACTGTGCTGGGGGACACAACAAACCTTCTGGCAATGGCACGTATTGATATGCCATCCTGGAGGAGTTGGACTGCCTGTGTAACCTCTGTAGGGTCCAGGTATCGCCTCATGCTACCAGTAGTGACACTGACCCTAGCCAAATGCAAAACTAGTGAAAAACAGTCAGAAAAGCTGAGTAGGGAAAAGTCAGTGGCCTCCACCTGTAAAACCATTCCTGTTTTGGGGGTCATCTCATTGTTGCCCATCTAGTGCACCTGTTGTTAATTTCATTATCACCAAAGCAGCTAAAACTGATTAACAACCCCCTCTGCTACTTAACTGACAATATCAATATCCCAATAGTTTAATTGACTTGATGCTATACTCTTATTAAAAAGTGTTCCTTTCATTTTTTTGAACAGTGTGTATATGTATATGCACTGACCGGCCACTTTATTAGATATACCTGTTCAATTGCATGGTAATACAAATTGCTAATAAACCAATCACATGGCAGCAACTCAATACATTTAGGCTTGTAGACGTGGCCAAAACGACTTGCTGAAGTTTGAACCGAGCATCAGAATGGGGAAGAAAGGGGATTTCATTTACTTTGAACATGGCATAGTTGTTGGTGCCAGATGGACTGGCAAAAATAAAATAAGTAAAAAAAAAAAGTTTAAAGTGCCCCCGTCACCCCGTGGTCGCACGTAGTGGTGAACGTATACGTAGGCCATGCCCACATATGTAAACCGTGTTCAAATCACACATGTGAGGTATCGCCACGAACGTCAGAGCAAGAGCAATAATTCTTACACTAGACCTCCTCTGTAACTTTACTAACCTACAGAAATTTTTAAAGCATCACCCATGGAGATTAAGTACCGCAGTTTGACACCATTCCACGATTGTGCGCAATTTTAAAGCGTGACATGTTTGGTATCTAGTTACTCTCTGTAATATCCTCTTTCATTTTACAAAAAAATTGGGGTATATATTGGTTTTGTTTTTTTAATCGTTGTATTTTTTTTCCAAAAAATATATATTTCATTTTTAAAAACTGTGCGTTTTTGGTTTTTGGACAAGTGCATTTTGAATTTTTGGTTTCGGCACCAGAATTTTCACTTCGATGCACCACTAATAACCATCTCCAGGGATATTGAGACTCATCAGACCAGGGAACGTTTTTTACAATCTTCTATTATCCAAGTTTGGTGAGCCTGTGCGAATTGTGCTTCAAGTTTGACGTGTTGTGCGTTCAGAGATGGTATTCTGCATCCCTTGGTTATAACAAGTCGTTATTTGTGTTACTGTTGCCTTTCTATAATCTCGAACCAGTCTGCCCATTCTCCTCTGACATCAACAAAGCATTTTCGTCCACACAACTGCCGCTCACTGATATTTTCTTTTTTCGGATCATTCTCTGTAAACCCTAGAGATGGTTGTGTGTGAAAATCCCAGTAGATCAGCAGTTTTTGAAATACTCAAACCAGCTGTCTGGCACCAACAACCATGCCATGTTCAAAGTCACTTAAATCCATTTTCTTTCCCATTCTGATGCTCGGTTTGAACTTCAGCAAGTCGTCTTCACCACGTCTAGATGCCTAAATGCATTGCCTTACTGCCATGTGATTGGCTGATTAGCAGTTTGTGTTACCAAGCAATTGAACAGGTGTACCTAATAAAATGGCTGCTGAGTGTATGCCTGGTGTATTTCTCAGAAAGCCTGATGTATTTCATCATCTGCTGCACTTTGTTTTCTGGTGACCATTGCATTGCTGGTGTTGTAACGTGTGAGTTTAACAGCACATCTGGAAACACTTGTCTGCAGCACATCTGGATAGCACCTGTCTTGAAACACCTGTCTGCTTGGTGTTGATACAGGATTACCATGTTGGTTGTCTTTGTTGATGTGTTCACTTGTGTTCACTTTTGTTCAATTAGATTTAAACTTAAAACGTGTACTGCATCTTCACAGTTTTATTTCCTAGTATGTTTCTCTTTGACCAGTTTTATCCCCTGTTCAAAGCTTTTTCCATGAAAGAAGTGTAATTTAAGACAAAGTGCACTTATTCTTTTTGCCCCGTGTCCACTGCGCAGACGTGGAATGGAGGATGTAAACAATCTGCAGAGACTGCAGACATATAACTATACATGTGCGGAGGGGAGGGTGGGAATGATTAGCTGAGGACATGCTGTTGTGCACCTTCGCACATGGCATACCACAAGATGTATGTGTGTTGGCATTTTCTGTGGCACCCCAGTGTGCATAAATGGGACCTTGCATTTCTTTGGTCTAACGCTGTGTGCAAACTCTATAGCAATGATGCCAGGCTCCATTGAAGGTCTGATAACTGTCCCAGGAGTACAACACAGGTTAGGACTTCATCTGAGGTGTATATACTACAAATAATGCCTGATTGAAGCTCCTTTGTAAATGGGTAGAAAGAGCAGAAATGACTGTCATTTGCCATCATGTTGCAGGGTGGGACCCTTACAGTTACAAAGGCCACTGCTTTCTCTCTGAGAGCAAGGGTCCCACACTTTGCAACTTGGCAGGTGACAGCCTTTTTTTTTTTTTTTTTTTCTCTTGCTGTGACCAATTTAACCACCTTCCGTGCGCCCTATAGTACAAGGACGGGTGCAAGGTGGTTGTCTCGTTCTGATAGGACGTCATATGACGTCCTACCATTCTCACAGCGCATGCGCGGCGATCACCGGTGCGCTATGTCCCTCGGACACAGTGGATCACAGAAAGAGCCGAAGATGTCGGCTCGGTCATGTGATCAGCTGTGTCCAATCACAGCTGATCACATGTAAACACGGAAATGACGGTTATCGGCATTTCTCTCCTCTCGAGCTGTCACGCTGACAGCTCGAGAGGGAGGAGAGCCGGTAATCGGCTTTCCGCGGAGGGGACATGTACACTAATCATCAGAGCACTGATGATCAGTGTGCCCTGATGATCAGTGTGGCCCCATCAATGCCACGTGCCAGTGTCACATAGTGCATACCAGTGCCCATCTGAGCTGCCTTTCAATGTTCCCCATCAGTGCCAGTCAGTGCTGCCTATCGGTGCCATATATCCGTGTCATGTATCAGTGTCATGTATCAGTGCTGATCAGTGATGCCTGTCAATGCCCATCAGTGCAACCTACCAGTGCCACCTATCAGTGTCTATCAGTGCAGGCTATCAGTGCCCATCACTGCAGCCTCATTAGCGCACATCAGTGAAGGAGAAAAATTACTTATTTACAGAATTGTATTTTTTTCAAAATTTTCAGTGGTTTTTGGTTTGTTTAAGAAAAAATACAAATCACAGAGGTGATTAAATACCACCAAAAGAAAGCTCTATCTGTCTCAAAAAAATGATAAAAATTTCATATGGGTACAGTGTTGCATGACCGCGCAATTGTCATTCAAAGTGTGACAGCGCTGAAAGCTGGAAATTGGCCTGGAAGGGGGTATAAGTGCCCTGTAGGCTAGTGGTTAAAAAAGAAAACAAACTATGTTGTAGATTCCTGTGCAGAATAAATCTGCATGTGATGGCTGTGTTGTGGTGTGAACAGAGCATATAGAGAATAATTTGTTTTTTGTACCCTTGCAGAACACGTGCAGAAAAACTGACATCTCTGCACCATGGTGTGACTGAGGCCTTACCATAGGTTCACAGCTAAGCGTTTTCCACAGAGTTTTGCAGAAACACACTACAGTCCATTTAACATTTCCTATGGGACACTTTCACATTTCCGCATTTTCACCCGGTGCGTTTTTTGGAAAGGGTCAGGGACTTTTTTGAACACAAAACGTTGTTTTTGGTTCTATAGACTGCAATGGAAATGCTGCAGAAAAGCATGTAGTGCGTTTTAAATCTGCCTCCGTAAAAAAAACAACACAACGCGATACAGAAACGGGTCAAATGCAAACCGCATAGGTTTGAACCTAGCCTTAATTTGGTTTAACTTCGCTTTAAACTGAAGGTTCAGTTGGGCTTTTTTGATGCAGGGGAGCAGCGGAGTGGCTTTGAGTTGGTAGTGTGAAAGTACAGATAACCTCTATGTAAGCATGGTTTGCAAGCAGTGTTTGTTGTGTGGTTGCAGCACATGTGCTTTCCACTCACACTTAATATTGTCAGTAACTTCCACTGATGGGCTTCCAGCTCAGGTGTGAAATGATGGCTGGGGTAAGTAGAATTTCCATCAACAATTAATGGTAATACCTCAGGCACCTCCTCTTCATCTTTGAGGGCAGTTTTTTGAGGAAGGAGATAGAGTTGTGCGATTGAAACTGAGTACAGAGGATAATTTTGCCAGTGTGTGTGTCTGCCTGAAAGGAGAAGATTGGGGGTGGTTCACACTGGCGCATGTTCCCATGTGATTCCTTCATATTCCAGTACTTTGTGCTTTGATACTCCTTTCATTTGAAAAGACTGTATATCTCACTGGAATGTGGAAAAAGTAGTCCTTGCACTACTTTTAATTACATGCTATGCAAAACTGCATGGTACTTCAAGTGGTTGAAAAGGCAAAAGGTTGTTTACCTTCATGCATTCTGTGCATGAAAGTAAAAAAAACCTGAGTGCAGCTTCCCCCGCAGCTAGTCTCCCTCCCCCCCCCCCCCCCCCCAGTACTCACCTGAGTCCGATCCTGATCCAGCGATCCCACGGTTCTCTCGCCCCTCATTGGCTGAGACACAGCAGTGGGAGCCATTGGCTTCCGCTTCTGTCAGTCACAGCCAGTGAAGAGATTTGTCAGTAATCCTGAACCATCCTACGACAGCCTGCTTCATTTTGTCATTACTGAAATGTTGATCTCTGAGGAACACATTTTGGGGTCCAAATGGATGGAAATCACTCAAGGACAGTGTCCTGTAGATATCTGCGGGCTTTTTATACCTTTGTCCACAAGAAACTTCATCACCACATGCTGTTCCATGCATGTACTAACACTATTGCCTGCCATCATTAATAGGACACACTTGCCACTTACTACTGTGTGTAGTACCACACTACCTAGCCTGCCTTTTTGTAAAGAATTCCCCTCGTAGGTAGGACCGCACAGGCTGTGCAGATAAGGATTGCGGAGCATATGGCTAATATAAAGACAGGATTCCATGGACACAACCTTTCTTGGCATTATGCCTAACAACACAATGAAAATTCAGCAAGCTCGAAATTAGGGGGCCATATATAGACTTATGCCCCGTTGTTGAGGTAGCAATTGCAAAAGGGAAATTTCACGACTTGAGGCGTGTTGTTTCTAAGGGATGAAGTCTTAAAGTTCTTTTGGCTTAAATTTTGAATGGGAGTTGAATTGGTAAAATTGTTGTATCGATAACGGCTAAGGTTTTGTTTATTTTTTTTTCACAGTTTTATGCCTGCCTGTCATTTTTATCTGGTTTGGATATGTTAGTTATTTAGTGATCATAAATCGGGAAGCATACGTTATGCGTTGTCCTGTTGGTTTTAGTTTTCACTGCATTTTTATTTTTATCTACTAGATGGTGCTAATGGCTGATGACACATTGATGGAAACCAAAAGCAATATTGTCATTGTTATTCATGTTATTGTATACAGTGCATTTATAAAGTATTCAGACCCCCTTCACTTTTTTCAGTTTTGCTGTGTTGCAGCCTGATACTACAGTTGTTTAAATTCATTTTTCTCACATTAATCTACATTCTGTAACCCATAATGAAAAAGTGAAAACAGAATTTTAGAAATCAGAGGTGTGGAAATTTTTGATAAAACTACTTGTCCAGGGACTAAATCGGTGCCCCAATCTACTTGTCCCTCATGACATTCTACTTGTCCAGATTAAGTAAAAAAATGTTTTAACCAAAACTGTTTTTAAATCGGAGGTGATATTAGCAATGTCTGGGGCTTTTAAAAACAAAAAGGGCTTTATGGTGATTTAAACATTTAATATTTTAACATTGCGCTGTTTTTCTACCCCCCCCCCTCCCCCTCCCTGCCTCTCTCCAGCACCGCACCCAGGGACTAGCAGGGAGGGGAGAGACCTTGCAGTGTAATGAGCACTGATTGGCTGCTCCTCAGGAAAGGGTGGGTCAGGGCTTATCCTTTATCCCTTTTGCTGCCAGAGCCGTTTTTGCATCTTTTTCACAAGTTTAAAAAATAATTTTAGGCCTGAAGAATACATAAAACCCCCTAAAATATATTTTCTGAAAGCAGAGACCCTAGAGAATAAAATAGTGGTAGTTCCAATTTTTTTATGTTGCATGCTATTACCGCAAAATTTCAAAAATACAAGTAAGTTAATTTTAGGGCACAAAAAACAAATTACCCTATTTTTTGTAAAATATAAAAGATGAGGTTGTAGCGAATAAATGGATATCCAACTTGTCAAACCTTAAATTTGTGCGCACTCGTGAAATGGCAATGAACCTCAGTACCCTTTATTTTCTATAGGTCGACACTTATAGGTCATCAGTTTAGCATCATGGAGGAGGTCTGGTGATAGAATTATTGCTTTCATTCTTACATGCGCAGTGATATGTGACATGTGTATCGCAATCAACGTTTTCATGCGTAGGCGCCCCAGCTTGTGCTTTTATGTTTGTACGTGCCTATATGTGGGGGTGGGAGGGGCCTCTTTTTTTTTGGGGGGGTGTCGGGTGATGGGAAACAAACATCCCTGGAAATGTCTGTGAATCTATTAAAAAGAAAAAAGTGAAATATCACATGTACTTAAGTATTCAGATCCTTTACCCAGTACATTATTGAATCACCTTTGGCAGCGTTAACAGCCTCGAGTCTTTTTTGGTATGATGCGAGAAGCTTTGCAGGCCTGGATTGGGAGATTTCTGCCATTCTTTGCAAGTCCTCTCAAGCTCAGTCAGGTTGGATAGGGACTGTTGGTGTACAGTACAGCTACTTTTCAAGTCTCTCCAGAGCTGTTCAATAGGGTTCAAATCAGGGCTCTGGCTGGGCCACTCTAGTTGTTCCTAAGCCACTCCTGTGTTATGGCTTTGTACTTAAGATCGTTGTCATGTTGGAAGGTGAACCTTCAGCCCAGTCTGAGATCCTGAGTTGTTTGGGACATGTTTTCTACACATATCTCTGTACTTTGCTCCATTCAGCTTTCCCTCAACCCAGACCAGTCTTCTAGTCCCTGCTGCTGAAAAAGAGCATGATGCTGCCACCACCATGCTTCACTGTTGAGATGGTATTGGGCGGTAATGAGCTGTGCCTGGTTTCCTCTAGACATAATTTTTAGAATTCAGGCCAAACTGCTCAATCTTGGTTTCATCAGACGAGAGAATCTTGTGCCTCACAGTCTGAGAGTCCTTTGGCTGCTTTTGTGCAAACTCCAAGGGGGCTTTAATGTGTTTTGCACTGAGCAGAGGCTTCTGTCTAGCCACTTTTCCATAAAGCCCAGATCGATGGAGGGATGCAGTGATGGTTGTCCACACATGGTCTCTAGAGCTCAGTCAGAGTGACCATCATGCTCTTGGTCACCTCTTACCAAGGCCCTTCTCTCCCGATTGCTCAGTTTGGCAGGGTGACAAGCTCTTGGAAGAGTCCTTGTGGTGCCGGACTTCTTTCATTATGGAGGATACTGCTCCTGGGAACCTTCAGTGCAGCTGACTTTTTTTTCTTGGCCTTCCACAGATCTGTCCCCTGCAATAATCCTGTCTCTCAGCTCTGCTTGCAGGTCCTTTTTGACCTCTTGGCTTTTGCTCTGATATGTATGCAGTGTTAGCTGTGAGGCCCTCTATAGAGGTGTGTGCCTTTTTCAAATCATGTCCAGTCAATTTAATTTACCACAGGTGGACTCCAGTTAAAGTGTATATCTCCGCAACGATCAAGAGAAATGGGAGGTACCTGAGCTAAATTTCAAGTGTTGTTGCAAAGAGTCTGAATACGTATATGAAAATATGAGAGATTTCATTTTTTCATTTTTCATACACTTCACTTTTTTTAAAAAAGTGTAGAGGGTCTGAATACTTTATCAATGCACTCTATTCATTCTTTTTAAGGCTTTCAGTGTTTTTTGGTGTGGCTTCCTTCTTACCTATATTTTGGCACCTGGATGCTAACAGCAGGATCACTGCATGTTCTTCAGTATCATTCAGTCTGCGGCCATTATAATGCTCAGTTCACCACTACCCACCAGCCCTTTTGACGACCCTATAGAAAAGCCAGCATCTTGGTACAATCCACAAGCAAGTATCCTTTATTGAAGGGAATAGTACATAAAATCCAGACAAAAGGCCAATGCGTTGTGGCTGCTAGGCTGTAGTCATGACTGTCATAATTGTGCATTCAGTATATAAGAAAAGAATCACGTATAGATAAAGGGAGAGGAAAAT